CATGAGACAAAGTATATGTGAACTGCTGTATGAAAAGTGAATTTACTCTGTAAATCTTCACCCAAATCCTAATAAAAAAAAAAAATTATATTTTCTATTTCAAAAGATTATTTCTTTTTACACATCATTCAGGGTTAAATTTAAAGCCTACAGTATCCATGAAATTTTTCTTGTTTCCCTAGCAAGAAATGATAACTGAAATATCACTTTCTACACATTTCATTTTCATCCACGCTAATATAGCTACCTTTGTATATCTAACAATGCCTACAAATGTATATGTAGAACATAGCAAAAGCTAACAATGAAAAATGGAAAGAATGAATGATTCAAAAAAGTAGGTATTTTTAAAGGATTCTATACCATGATGGTATTTATGTGTGTGTTTGTGTATGTCTTTTTGCAATAAAAATGTCTCAGTATACCCATAATAAGATATCCAAATATAGATGCTGTAACATATACATCCTCAGGTGCATTTTATTTAAATGAAATTTAGTTATAAAAAACAAATATAACATCTGATATTGTATCCATGAAAGCAAAAATGAATTATTTCTAAACATACCTGGAGGAGAAATCAGGTAATTCTTACAAATCTTTAGAAGTTATTGGCAGAACATTGAAAATGGAGAGTGTAAAATAATACAAATTACTTACGACCATTTTATTTAGAGACACCCAGCAATCTGGTGGGAAATCCTGCAGCAGTGGAACTAAGAACTGAAGACAGCCATCCCAGTGGCAAAGGAGCAGCATCATGCCGATGAGGTTAAAAATTCTCACCACGGCACTGGCGAGATCATATGTCATGTGAAAAATCTGTTGACCAAAACATAAAATCAATTTTTATGATCATGATTTAAAAAATCAAGAATACTACCAATGTCAAAAGATGATATTGTGTAGAGAAGTACTGATATAATAAAAATATAGGGGGAACTTTTACAAACAGAAACAGAATTTACATTTCTTTACCTTCACATCCAGGCTTGACACCCTGCTTCATGACTATCATAGCCAACTGTGGACTCTCCACAGAGCAGAGACAGACAGCAGGAATACAGTCAATGTCTGGTTCATGTTTTAAAGGACATTAGTTTGTCAACAGTTTCCTTTTCACTGTCCTTCTGGACTTATTTGTGGAACTGCTTTAAAACAAAGCAGCAAAGCCGTCAAATGCTTCTCATTCCTTGTTAAAAGAATTTGTTGAAGGACTGAGAAAATAAATAAGGACTAAAAACCAGTAACAATAGATGTTTAATTTCAAAATATAAAAACTGAGAACAAATTGCAGTTAATAACTACATGAGTGGAGGTATTTCTGTTATTATGTTTACAGCACATGAACAGTGGCCTTTCAGATATAAATTCTCTGAATTAGGTTAAAACAATTGTGTAATATTTTTTTTAAAAAAATAAAATTGTTATTTCCATTTCTATTACTTTTATGACACAGACTTCTCTGTGAAGTTTTCTTATCTAAGATATTTTCATGAAATCCAATTTGATGGATAAAGAAAGCACAAAAAATCTTCCATTGGTATTTTAGAAGGGGAAATATATATTCAGCTTTACATCTTTAACTCCTTACTACGACAAACAGAATTTAGACTTGATTTCTTTCTCTAGCAGCTCAGACATTATATCACTCTTCCAATTCTAATATAGTTTCTGCTTATATTTTACCTAGTCCAGAATAACAGGTCTGGAAACACACCTACATTCTAGAATAAAGTTTTTTAAAAAAAATTCTTGAAGAATTAATGAGTTAATAAACAAAATAATGAATATGAACAAACAAACATACACAACACCTTGTGATATTTAGCATTACATTTCATATAATTCAACAAAAGAATTCCATTTTTTGAAGCAATAAAAAAAAGACGTAAATGGGAAAATTATCTAAGAAACAGAAAAAAAGCACAATTTATATTCTGATTTGAAAAACTGTATCTATGTAAGAAAAGGTCTATAATTTTTTCAAAGATGCATACTTAAGAATGTAGAGATCAAATAAGAAGACATCTGGGATATTTCTTTTATAAAATCACTAAATTTGTCCTTAGTTAATTTTTTTTTTTTTTACTCTGATACTCTTTTATCACTCATTAATTATTTATTTAAATAATGCTACTTTTTGACAGTAATTATAGTGGGCAAAAATTTCTTTCTTTCTTTTTTTTTTTTGAAAATGTACAAAATGTTCTGAATTGCTTTTAAAAGTGACAATAGGGTCCCAGATTTAAAGGCAAAAGATATTTAGATATTATGACAGCTATTCACAACAATTTATTTTACAACATTAAGAATTTTATTTTCCTTTAAGCTATTTTTTAATTTGGTCTATGTTTGGTGAACCTACAGAAATTTCCTTTTGATGTTGTTCTCTCTGGTTTATCTTGGTCATTGATATTGTCAATGAAAAACTGTATCAACATTTTCATCATTAATTTCTCATTTTAATTATAGAGGAAATATGATATCAGCACACTATTAAAAAGGCCACCTCTTGTCTGTCAGTGTGACATACTGTGGCAGCTTGATTGTTGCTGTGAAGCTGGAGGCCATGCCACCAGTATTTCAAATATCAGAAGGGTTTCAGTGGAGCTTCCAGACTAAGACAGATTTGGAAGAAGGAAGAGGCCATCCACTTCTCAAAGAATTGGCCACTATAACCTTATGAATAGCAGTGAAACACTGTCTGATATATTACCAGAAAATTTTATGAGTAGCCCTGAAACATTGTCTGATATAGTCCTAGGAGATGAGTCCCTCAGGTTGGAAGGCTCTCAAAATATGACTGGGGAAAGGCTGTCTTCTCAAAGGAGAGTCAACCTTAACGATGCAGATGGAGTAAAGCTTTTGCGGCCTCCATTTCTTGACAGGGCATGACTCAAAATGAGAAGAAACAAGTGCAAACAATTAATAATCATAACATAGAATGTATGAATGCTAATCTAGGAAAACGGAGGTTGTCAAAAATGAAATGGAACACTTAAAGATCTATATCCTAGGTATTAGTGAGCTGAAATGGGCTGGTTTTGGGTATTTTGAATTAGGCAACTGTGCGTTCTACTATGCGTGGAATGACAAACTAAAGAGGAATGGCATTGCACTCATCACCACAAAGAATGTTTCAAGATCTATCGTGAAGTATAATGCTGCCAGTGACAAGGTAATATCCATACACCTACAAGGATGTTGTTTGAACAGAACAAGGAGATACTGCATGATTTAAACTCAGGAAGGGATTTGTCAGGGTTGTGTCCTTTCACCATACTTATTCAATCTGTACACTGAGCAAATAATCTGAGAAGGCAGATTATATGAAAAAGAAGATGGCATCAGGTTTGGAGGAAGACTCGTTAACAATGTGCGGTAATCAGATGACACAATCTTGCTTGCTGAAAGTGAAGATGACTTGAAGCACTTACTGATGAAGATTAAAGACTACAGTCTTCAGTATGGATTACACTTCAACATAAAGAAAATGAAAATCCTCACAACAGGATCAATAAACAGCATCATGATGAATGTAGAAAAGATTGAAGTTGTCAATGCTTTTATATTACTTGGTTCCACCACCAATACCAACCGAAGTAGCAGTGAAGAAATCAGACATCGTATTGTACTGGGCAAATCAGTTGTAAAAGAGCTCTTCAAACTGCTGAAGAGCAGAAATGAAGGCTAAGATGTGCTTAACCCAAGCCATTGGTGTTTTCAATTGACTCATGTGCATGTGAAAGCTAGACAATGAATAAGAAGGACTGAAGAAGAGTTGATGCTTTTGAGATGTGGTGTTGGCAAAGAATACTGAAAGTACCATGGGCTTGTAGAAGAACTAATGGATGTCCTGGAAGAAATGTAGCTGAATGCTCCTTGGAAGTGAAAATGGTCACACTTTGTCTCACCTACTTTGGCCATATTGTCAGAAGGGACCATTCCCTGGAGAAGCACGCCATACTTGGTAAAGTAGTGGGTCACAGAAAAGGAGAAAGCCCTCAAGGAGATGGACTGACACAGTGGCTGCAACAATGGGTTGCAAGGACTATGACGTTGGCACAGGACTGGGCAGTGTTTCATTCTGTTGTACATAGGGTCACTGAGTCAGAGCCAACTCAATGGTCCCTAACAACAACAGTTGTAAAACAATATATCATGTTTCTCATCACCTATAACAATGTGGACTATAACTTAGAATCTAAAAATTTATTTCATTACTCTGCTACTATATAATATATCAGGGTCTTCTAATCATCCATTTTTAATACTAAAAAAACCCAAACTCACTGCCATTGAGTTGGATCCAACTCAAAGTGACCCTCCTTGGGTTTCCGAGACAATATCACTAGGGAAGTAGATTGTCCAACATCTAGGGAAAAAAAATGTCATGCAAACTTGTTCTTTATTTAGCACTACTACAATGAGAAAAATCAAAGATCTCGAGTTAAGAGAAATTTGCAAAATAAAATGGGAAAATGTTTTATTATATATCCTTTCAACATTTTTGATAGAAAGCAATGGGTTGGAAAGATTGAAGTATAAACTGTGAAAGTACAAACCTTGAAAACTGGCAAACACAATGTGTGGTTGTACAGAGTTGTTGCTCTTTAAACATTTTTTTTATCTCACTGAGGGTTCATGATTACCAATAAATTTGTATAAATAGGTCAATGCTAAGGATTACCACACTGAGCAGAAGCATTTCTACTAAGGTTATTTTTCTTTGACTTTCAAGTCAGTATTAGTGGGTAGCTAGGAATAAGTCAAAAAACAAACAAACAAATAAACAAAAATGTCTACTCCTGGTTGCATTTTGTTAAATGAATTTACCCAATTCTTCATATTTTTAAATTTCCTTAGAAATAACCAGTATATTTTTTTAACCTTCATGAAGACTATTTGGTACAAGAAAACAGACATTTATTGAACACTGACCCAGAAAAATGAAAGTGATAGCATAGTTCCCGGGTGGTTAATTTACTTTAGGAAGTAGTTTACACACTGAGACAATCAAGTTATGATTGACTCATAAGGAGAGAGTTCAGTAGATTCCAAAACTAGAGTGTAATTAATTAAAATGAACCCATATAACATCATTTTCTATCACTCTATTATAAATTTTAAATGGCTGTGAATTTAAAAATTATGTAACCAAATTTTACAACCACTGAAATACTTAAATGAGGAAAATAACAAGTATGAATTTCATAATGGTTCTTTGAAGCTTATTTCAGTAACAGTTATCGGAATCCACTTTGGTAGTTAATTACCATACACACTTAATTTCAAGATAAAGTAAGCACTAAAATATTGATTTAATGAAATATAATTTTTTTTTTAAAAAAGTTTTTCCCAAAAATATTAGGTTGAAAATTCCAAATGAAAGGAAATAAATTAGTATAATCTTTTCTATTCTTTTCTACTTACACAATAAAAAAAAAAATTAACAAGCAAATGATCGTATTATGGTAAAATGACGGTTATCCTGAGTGTGTCTGTGTGCACGTGTGTATAAAGAGAGGGTAAAATAATCAGAGTAGTAACAATGTTAACAGTATTCTGTGAATTATGTTTGTTGTTGTTATGTGCCGTGGAGTCAGACCTGACTCATAGCGACCCCTCCTTGGGTTTCCAAGGTGGTATCACTATGGAAGTGGATTGCCCAACCTTCCTTCCAAGGAGTGGCTGGTGGGTTTGAACCGCCAGCCTTCTGGTTAGCAGTTAAGGGCCTTAAGCACTATGCTACCAGAGATCACTTGTAAATTAATTTCAAATGATATTTCCATTTAATTACGTGTCTTTTTGGAGAGAAT